GAAAATTACGGAAATTAGAATCGACTGGTGTATTGACGAGGTAATATAAATAATATTATTTCGTTAGAAATGGTAAAAAATACATCAGCGAGTAAACGGTGAACGGACGAACACAAAATCCACCGGATCAGCAAATTCTTACACGGGCGTCGTCGAGTTTACCACCACACCGGGTAACCATCATCGTCATCGTCGTGGTCGTCGCCGCCGTCGCAAACGAAGGTTACCGCCAGGACGTGTGTGCCGCCGCCGGATATTCATTATTTTTGTTCACGCTCCGTCGTGCCGTTGCGTGACGTAAACGAGCTCTTATACGATTATTTTTTTTTTGTTATTCGTCGTCGTTGTCGCACCGCCGCGAAAATAACACGTAATCATATCGCGCCAACGAGATTGAACGCGATTGTTTTTTTTAAAAAATAAAATAATAAATAATAATAACACTCGAACGGTGATAGCGTCGTGTTTACATACACGAGCGCCGCCGAAGTCGCAGAGTATCCATATCAATTTCTAAATATTAGGGAAAAGGACAAATCTCAAATTATATTCCGAATTTAATATTAGCTATATATACATAGTAAATGAGTGATACGGAAGATAGTAGTAATAGGTCAAAATCTCTAAAACCTACAGTCAGAAAATTCGTACCTTCGACTTCTCGTGTTAGTCTCCCAGTCAGGTTTGCAAATCCAGAAAATCCTGCTTCCGAGCGTCCGATTGCCTTATTATCCACCGAGACTAAACAATTGTTAGGCTCTAACGAAAACCTTCTATACTCTGTCGATAACACTTTAGCTAACGTAGATATAACGCTTGAATTAACTAAAGATTCAATGGCAGAGGCTAGTCTTTTAAATCAGACCATTCGTAAATACAGAGGACCATACAGAGGACAAAGGAATAACAATAGAATCCAGTACATCAAGAGGAGAATCGTCCAACAACACTTATTAAAATCAACCGCCATTTGGGGATATTCCACTTGGGACGTCAGATCGAACAGTTGACACAATCGGGTTGGAGGCAGCCCTTAAGCTACTTCCCACTACAATTAATGGAGAAAATCAAGAAGAGCTCGAACAGTTCTTGGAACAATGTGAATTTTCCATAATGTGCGCCAACGACCGTGCCAAAACCCGATTGTTACAAGAAATAATGATAAGATTAACGGGCAAGGCACGAGCTGCAGTAAAATTCCGGACCATTAACACGTGGATCGAGCTGAAGACCACTCTGAAAAATACATTAGAGCTAAAACGGACCACCACACACTTATATCTCGACAACAAGTCAATCAGAAAATACAGAACATTCAGACTCTCCAGACACTTCAGCCTCTCAAAAACTCATAGAAAATACAGAACATACAGAATCTCCAGACAATTCAGCCTTTCGGACACTCACAGAAAATGCAGAACATTCCGAATCTCCAGACAATTTAGCCTCTCAAAAGTTCACAGATAATGCACAACACACAGAACTTTCATTAAATGCTGAATCTTATGAATATAAACAGTTTCTCTCAGCGGAACCAAGTTCCAAGAAATCGTATACAAACTTAATGGAAGTGCAAGGAGATCTATTTGATGATGCGTCAACTGCCTCCTTGGTACATTGTGTCTCATCTGATTTCAAAATGACTAAGGGTATAGCGTTAACTATACGAAGAAAATTCGGAAACGTAGCACAACTATGCAAGTTGAACAAACAAGTTACTGAAGTGGCTTCGTTAACAGTAGAAATATAACAATATTCTATCTCCTCACTAAAGAACATCATTGGCAAAAGCCCAGCTACCAACATTTATTTCAGAGCCTCTTGAATTTGAAAAAATTATGTGAGGAACGACATATCACACAATTAGTCTGTCCTCGCTTAGGTTGTGGACTGGACGGACTTAAGTGGAAAACAGTGCGTTCTATGATATGTTACATTTTTCTAAATTCAGCTATCAAAATCAAGGTCGTAGATCGTGAACCGTTGACAGAAGACGAACAGCAACGAATAATCAGGGAGTTCCATGAGAATCCTCTGGGTGGACATCAAGGTATTGCCAGAACTCACCAACGGATATCACAGCAATATCATTGGAAAGGGATGAGGCAAATGATCAAAAATTACATCCTGTCTTGTGCCACTTGTCAATTTAATAAAACCACAAATCGAACAATTAAGGAACCTTTGGTGATCACGACCACCACATCCAGACCATTTGAGAAGATTTTCATGGACATTGTGGGTTTTTTTTATTATATTTGCCACGTCGTCAACGGTTTGAATAGCTTCAACCAGATCCATATTCTATTTCTAAAGAAACTTAATGGTAAACTCATACTCAATAAGTTTCCCAGTACATAAGCTGCTAATTCTGGTTGTCATGTATCATACAGCAATAGGTATGCTTCTGATGAAACATCCTTATCAAGCCAAATACAAATTTCTTATAAACTATTAATTATTGCATCAAATAACTCAAGGAAAATAATTATTGAACAGTGTAGTTCTACCATTGATTATTGAATAGACTATTGTGTAATCAATGATTCTACCCATGACAAAATATTTTGTCGTTTGTCTACCCATCTTGTTGGATATAACAATTTTAGGTTAATGAAGAACATACCACATGCTATTAAAATAGGTATCAATAGCACATTTTCTGATAGGAAATTATAAAATTTTAGTAAGATTAGTACTTTAAAGAGGTCATATCATCAATTTGCCTCATTATAATTGGGAAAAATGTATAAAAACCAGGAAAAATAATGAAAGTAAATGATTTTATTATTTTAAATTTTGATTTTTATATTATACAGTTAAAAATATTTGTAGACTTAAAATTTTTAAAAATTTGTATTTGCTTTTTCTAGACGTATTAAATTTTTTTAAACATTTTAGCCATTTTAAGGTTATTTATAGAAATTTTAATTTTGTAAGTTTTTTTAAGTAATTTGTATTCAGTAGGTACTCTGTTGATAAAATTGTTAAATCAAACAGAAATGCTTGTACCTATATTTAACATTACAAGTTGTAGTTCGTGATAAAAAATAAAAATGTGCGCTATGTAGAATTTTTGTTTTTTATAATAATTTTAATGTCAAACTTGGACGAAAAATCTTAAATATTATGGCCTTTCAAAACATGTATTACCAAACTCTGCTCAAAATCGTTTTTCCTTAGTAATAATTCATTGTTGACTACAGATATATATCAAATTCCCCTTTATATCCTACCTTCTCAATTTCTCACCTACAACATTGGTACACCCATCCTCAGTTTCAAATCTTTTGTTTATAGATTATTGTTAAAAATAAATACAATTACCGATTTACAAATATTTTATAATGATGAACCAAATTATTCCTTAAATAATTGTAAGCATCTATTTCATACTTAAATGTTGGCTATATGTCTGTGAGTAAGAAATGCAGTATACCCTGGGTGGTAAGAAAAACAAAATATAGGTACCTACTTGATACACAATAAAATAACTAACAAGTAGGTATAGGTTAGGTTATAGTATAGATTATAGATTATAGTATATACTATGTATAATACAAAAATAGTTATAATTATTGTGTGCAAGTGTAATATATTTATTGGAGAGCCTAGGTATATAGTAATATATAGGCTCTCTATATTAATTTATGTATTCTTAGTGTTTTAAACAACAATAATTTTGGAGTATAATATATAATAGTAATTATTAATTAATTTAGTAATATTTGTAAACAACCAAACCTGGAGAAAGTATATAACATCATAAGTTAAATTATAAACGAAATATTATAAATAATTTAGAGAATATTATAATTTTGTGGAAAACATTTTTTAGGGGAAAATGTTAAAATTGAAAAACAATCAAGTAGATAATTAAGAAATAAAATATATTAATAATTTAAAATAGTGGTTACTTTTTTTATTTCTATAAAATATTATTAATCCTTTTTTCATTGTAAATTTTTTACTTTAAACAATACATTCTTACAAGTATTGAATGTATAAAAAATGAAATTATTTGTACGATTCTAAATGGTTATTAAAATACGAGTATAAGAAATATATGCTCATGCAAATAATTTTCTTAAGAGTATTAGAAAAATGATCAATAACTACCTACTATAAAAATGAATAGCTCCTCAGATTCACTAATAATTGAAATAGGTAAATACCTATCAAATTCTTTGATGTAAACAAAATTGTAATTATATAATATTGGATACTATAACTTTTTGAGAATAATATAATAAGAAGAAATTAAATCATTTTTATTATTTAAAATAAATATATTGATTGAATAAATTATTCAAATACTCAAATAATAATTATTTATTACTAGTTTGCTGCTATAGATTGACCAATTAGTTCTCCAATTTTTTTGTTTTCTAATATTGTGTAATGATTTCCTTCAACAAAGTGTACCATGACAGAGGATTCAAAATACTAATGACAAAAAATAACAATTATGTTATAACTTAATACATCAAAATAAATTTTAAATAAAATTACCTTTGAAAGTCCATAATCCTCAGTTATTGGTAGAACTTGTTCAGTAGGGCGTATCAACAAAGTAGGAGTTTTTAAAATAACAGTGGGAGTTTCGTCATAATTGATAATTGCTTTTAATTTTATATACGCACTATTAAATAATTGTTTTTGATAAGATTTACTGTAATTTACATCATCTGGGACTTTTTCAACAAAATAATTCAAACGTTCATCCCATGAATTAATATTACCAAATTCCATTAATAACTAAATCGAAACATAGGAAACAAATTGTAAATAATGTCTTAATAAAACTAAAAAATAGGTACTGTAAACTTACCTTATCTTTATTTTGAGGCCAAACTAAGTCAAAGAACCTCTTTAATAGTTGTATTTGAATTTCATCATCTAGTGGGTTTTCCCCACTAACTGATAATTCAGTAGTTACCCTCAAAAATTGTGGAGCACTATCTATTAACCACAATTTACCTTTACGATTATTTTTTTCCAATAATTTTACAACTTCAAGAGCAATAAGTCCACCAAAAGAATAGCCCAAAATGAAATACTCTTGATCAGCTGGCAACCGTTGTTCAATTAACTACGATTAAATTTATTTTAGTAAGTGATGTTATAACAATTCAAATATAAACTTACTTGATAATGATTAATTGCCATTTCTTCAATTGTTGATGCTACACCAGAAATATCATATTGTAAACATAAGACTTGCATGTTTAAATTTTTTGATAATGGTTCCATCATTGAAGCAATACCTTCAAGACCCGGTATGACAAATATTGTACAATGATTTGTAAGTGGTTCTTCTACTGTAGAACCATCTTCATATAAGGATGGTATGCGCACAACTGGGTAATATGCAGATTTTTCATCACCTACAGCTCGTATTAGATATTTTAATCCTACGTCAGATAGATCATTAACTGACTTAGGTTCATTAGAGTCATTTTTCTTCTCTTTATCATCTGAAGCACCAATCTCTTGCAATTTTGCAAATGTCATACTTCGTATGTCTTGAGGCGTTAAAAATACTTCAAATTGTCTTTCTAATGTTTGTTTAATTTCTACAGCCATCATTGAATCCATACCTAATTCTGCCAAAGTTGAATGTAAACTAATCGTTTTTAGATCTCTAAGACCCAATATGTTAATTACTGTGTC